CTGTGCAGTCTCTCTCAGTCCCAGCCAAAAAGGAGGGCGGCCGGACAGCAGCAATGCAGGCCGGCAGTTGTAAAAGGCGCTGACTGTGACTGACTGCCAAGCAAAAGTCAGGCCGGCACGTACTCTTTCGGACAGGTTTTGGTTCATCTTCTTCTCCCTTGCTCTTCCTCTTCCTGGATCGCTTTTCGGTCCCAACTTCCCATGCACTCTCCTCTCGTAGGAGTACATGCTCAGAGCATGGCTAACGAGGGCAGTCCCACGAAAGAAATTAGTAGTTTTTATAATATAGGATACCGCATTAAAAAAGTACTGCTTTTTAACCCATAGTTTTTATGAGTAATAATTATTTTCTCTTTCTCTCTCCCAACTCTATCTTTTTCCTCCAATTGGAGTGCGGCACGAGCCCCTAGAAACTAGTGGTTTCTCCCCAATAGCGATTTCATAGTTTCTTTGTGCATTGGGTCAAGAGAAGACCTGGCTTCTTCGTGAGGAAACCATTTCTATGATTTTTGCTCTCTTTCTTCATTAACTACGTTGTCATGTCAATATTTTACCTACGTGGCAAGTCATTTAATGAGTATAGAAACCATCATCAATACACCGTCGGAACTACCCTAAGCCAGCCCGCTGCCGGCTAAATGAAACTGCCATGTCACTTCCACCCATCGAGAGTAGTCAGCTCATAGAATAGATCAACTAAGAGATAGATTATAATAATAATTCAAATATTTAATGGCTGGATGTATGGCCCTCAGTACGGTCCCGTGAAAAATGTCGGCTCTGCGCCCGCTGATGGCTGGAAGCAGACGATTACTTCCTCGATTCGTGCGTGCAATCCGGCGTTTTACTAACCGCCCGCTCCATTCTCTCTCTTCTATTCTGGCTCCTCCACCTCAGATTCTGTTGACGTGAAACTCCATTTAGCCTGCTGACTATACCTTATTATACTTGCTCTCACTAACGCTCTCTTCAATCTTCTTCCAGCCAAGGAGACAGCCACGTGTACCCGAGAGCAGCACGGATTTTAGCCAGTGGCCGGAGCGCGTAGTTACTGGTACTCCGTGCATTGTTTTTTTTTACCGCCCTCAACGTGTACTGTGTACTACTTAATTTGCTTGTATTCTCCGTAAATGAACGCTATATATATCCCACCAAAATGAAGTCCGTACTCCGACTCTCCGATGACAAGCTTCTGCTTGTATTGAAATCGGGTAATTAATCGCTGTAGTACGTTTTACTACCTACAACGCATCGTATTTCTATTTCTACTAACACTAAAATTGTTACAATTTACGTGCATGTCATATCATTACTGTTCAGGTCTTCTTTCTTTCTTTCTTTCTTTTTTTCCATAACGACTTCTAGTCTTCTTTCTACCATGAACATATCTGCACCACTTTGGCATCGGCAACGAGTGGTAGTAGTATATGGGTGTGTTTGTTTCCAAGGATATCCATGTCATCCATGGGTATTCATGGATATAGGGTGTTTGGTTGGATGAATAAGTTGAACCTGGATATTCACAACAGAGAATATTCTGGGTAGATGCTGGATATCCTAGCCCTAAAAAATCTAGCGGATGAGGATATCCACATGTTAATTAGCGCATGTTTTATGTGACAATTAGAGTAGTATAGTGCTAATTAACATATTTTATTTTTAATTAGTGATTATAATGACAAGATTAGTGTCAGTGCATATTTATTAGGGTATAATTAGTTGTTATTATTTTTAAATAATAGATATAATTAGTCAAGTATTTTCATCCTATGCAATCTCATCCATCCAACCGAACAGAAAAATTGCTCGTCCTATCCATCCAACCAAACAAACAATATGGATATCCATATCCCAAAATCCATGGATGGCCATATCCCATCCACCATTGTCCTCAAACCAAACACACCCTATACCTCAGAGATGGATGACGCTAGTATATTGTATTCAAGAGAGTACTATGATCAAAGATGGATGATACTATATTATACTTCCCCTGTTTATAAAAATACGTGACCTCCCTTTTCAAGTAGTTAAATAATTTGAAATTTATTTAAATTATATAAAAAATACTAACATTTATGATACAGAATAAGTATCATTAGATTCATTATTAAATATATTGTTATAGTAGATTTTTATTGAAAACACAAATGTTAATACTAATTATTATAACTTTAGTCAAACTTAAACTAATCATAAACCGATAAATTCTATAGTTGTATTCTTTTACGGACGGAGAGATCTCCTCTATGGAGTAGTATTTACTTGCATCTATTGTAATTATTTATATATCCTTCTGCCGTAGCAGAGGCAATGGGACGCACAATAAACAGACCATGCACACGGTTCACAAAATTGGCGGTTTTGCACGAACAAAAGTACAAAACGACGGCCGGTCCCGGCCGGTGTACAGCATTTAGAGGTTTGTTGGCGACATACAACTTGCCGAGGCGGGGGCATCATGGCTTAGGTACATTCACGACAACGGGAGCTCATCATGTATATATGTTGTCGCTGTACAAGGTACAGGGAGGTAGGTGTGGTTAGGGTGAGTAGTAGATATATAATTATACAGGTTGGTGGCACGTACCGTACCGGGCCCTATCCAGCCCCTACGTACGTTACCATAATCTCATTGGTATATCATGAGCCTTTTAGCTTACACGGTCGGTTAATAAGTGCGTAATCCTTGTGTTTTCTCGTCCTTTCTCATTGTCTAGCACTACGTACGAGAGAAGACATGTGGTGTTGTACTGTATGCACATGGGCCTGTTCGGCTGATACTGATTTTTTATGAGAAAAAATACTGTAGACTATAGTTGATAAGTTCAAGTGAATAGTCCCGTCACTCTCATGTAGTAGGTACGAGCTAGTGCAATGTGATATCTGACGTACATTTTTATGTAAGAACTTTAAACCAATGACAGGATGTATTCCGATATTGACGTACACATGGTGGTGCTGTGGCATAGTATATATAGAGATGTACGACCAATACTAGTTACTTCGGGGTGTGTGTGCAGAATTCATCAGTGTGAAGGATGACATGGATTGCTTGAGGTCACCTTCATACATAACAACATCGATCTCAAGCCAGAAAATTAATTTAATTTTTATTCTAATCCATTCTAACTTATCTGAATTTGGCGGATTGTAGCGTTGCCAAAGGAACTCTTATTTTGTTGGGTTTGAACTACCTTCAAGGACACAGCAGTTGCAATACTCCACCATCACGAACGATGCTAAGGGAGTAGGAATGTAGGATCATCTTCTTTCAGGAGTCGGGTCAGGTGGCCACACACAAAACAAAGTACACGTGACCGCAAAAACGGATAAGACGCCGCACACACGGACACCTCCACTGCATCGAGCGAAAAAGTCTGTAAAAAGTCCAGAAGCAGTGGCAAGTGGCAACAGAGACCAGATCAACCCTGGGATCCAGCGGTGGCAGCGGCTGCAACAAACAGAAGCAGCACGCCCTGGAGCCTAAGCTCTTGGTGGACCACGTCCACGAGGACCATGTCACTGTCCACCTCTCTGATCCTGCCAGGTGGTCCCCAGCTAGGACAGCCTGCTCGGCCCGGCCCACGAGGGCACCCTGGGCAGCATTTACTCTAGGGCGCTCCCCGGCCGTCCGATTGGAAACCGACGGGAGTTGCTTCTCTGGGCCCAGCTACCGGTTTTTAAATGCGTTTCCCCATCCAGAGAGTGGCATAGATAGTAATATTGGAAAAGACGCAAGGGCGAAGAGGGTAATTCCGCGGTCGACGGCGATCGGGCCTGTGCTGTGGAGGTCGTGGTCTCGTGGAAGTGGAAGAGGTAGTAGTAGTAGCTGAGAGGCTAGCGCGCGGAGCAATGGAGGTTTTAATTGCTTCGGCGCGCTCGTTTCTTTAATGGCCACTCCTTCCAACGCCTCCGTCCCGGCTTCCACGCGTTCGCACTGAGGGCTAGGGTTTGCCCGCGTCGCTCGTCAAGGAGGAGAGGGTACGCTGCCGGCGGCGGCGGTTGGAGGCCGGAGCCCGTTCGTCGCTATCGCGTCCCCGGTGCGTCTTTTCTTCCCCTTCGGGGCCTCTGGTTTCCGGTTCCGCCTTCGTTTGAGGGGGGTTGCGAGTTCGTCCGCTCGGATGTGGAGCTGCAGAAACTGGACGGTTTTGTCTCCCCCTGTTTTTGGAGTTGGTATACCATTCATTCATTCGTTTAATTAAGGAAGGAAATGCGAGTCTAATCCCCCCTCGCCGACGTTACCAGCGTTGGATTTTTTGGGGCAGGGGATTTCCTTGTCGGGAGAAATTTCGATTCCAGCTTTGATTCCTCCCACATGGGGAGGCCAATTCTGAGGCTCGAAGCGCGGCGAGATCTGCGAGGACTCGAATAGTCTGTGAACTGATGGCGATTCCTGCGGCGTGCCTGGAATCGTGTGGGCGCCTGGGCGGGCGGAGGACGAGGCTGCACTGTGCAATCTGACCAGCAGCAAGAAGCCGAGGGGGGCGGGGTCACCTTTCCTTCCCGGCTTACAGTGGCGGCGCGGACACTCAGAGCAGCACAGCACAGGCGCGGCGCAGCAGCACAGCGGTGGTGCCCCGCTCCCATCTGCGGCCACCCATAAAGGCCGCGATCTTTCTCTCAATCCTCAGGACCCAGCCCAACACTTGAACTGGGGGAAAAGGCCGCCTCCTTTTTTAACGCAATCATCTCTACCGGGCGTGTTGCTCGCCTTTTTTGGTCCCGCCCCGCCTGCTGCCAAGCAGGTCCGGCGTCCAACTCTGGTGGCAACTGCCAGCGGCGCGGTACTCGCTCGCTCGCTCGTCTACCCCTCCACGTTGCCATTAAAGCCCCCGGCGCGGTTGTTGTGTTGTTTGTACTAGGCGGGCATCACTTCCAGTTCGCTTTAGTTGCTTTGGCTGCTTCTTCTTGGGTCTTGGGTTGTAGAGTTATTTGCTTCGGCTTCTGGCTTAGAGTTTCTGGATTTGTAGGCATTGCTGGTTGCCTAGAGGAAGGAGATGATGGTGGGCTCTTCCCAGCAGCAGCTGCTGCAAAGGAAGGGCAAGTCCGTGGCTGGCAAGGGCGCGGCCGCCGCGACCGTGGCGGCAGAGAAGGTGGTGGTCGCGGTGAGGGCAGCCACCAGGGAGATCTCCAAGAACGCCATCGTCTGGGCGCTCACGCATGTCGTCCAGCCTGGCGGAAGTATCATACTCCTCGTCGTCATCCCGGCACAGAGCTCTGGTATTGCTTCCTTTCCTTGCATTCCTATAGCCTTTATGGAATAAGCTGTTTTCTGCTGCTCTTTGTTTCTGGTTTTCGCTTTCCTGTTTGCTACATCAATCAGGATATCAATGAGTGCTCTCGTGCACGTTTGCTAGTACTACTAATCATATGCACTTTAGTTACAACGATCACCTAATTCCATGGTCTTCCTTCCCTGGAGTTGTCAATGCTTCCCCGGTTTTGCTGTAGTTGCCTGAAAATATCTGCACACTTTCTCCATTTCAGGCAGAAAGTTCTGGGGCTTTCCGCTGTTTGCCGGAGACTGTGCAAGTGGCCATAAGTCTATGTTGGATCAGAAATGTGATTTATCAGAGTTGTGTTCTCAAATGTTGAAGAAACTCGATGAGTATGATATAGACAAGGTTTGGAGCTGGGGCTAATGCTCGTTTACATGTTTAATAAAATTGTCATATACTTGTGTGCTTAATTTATTGCTGTTTCTGTAGATAAATGTCAAGTATAAGCTTGTTTCCGGCTCTCCTTCTGGTGTTGTTGCTGCCGAGTGTAAGCAAGCACAGGCAAGCTGGGTTGTGCTAGACAAGTAATGATCAACTCCTAAAACAGAAGTTTCTTGAATACAGCCTACATTCTTTCATTGTTACTTTGGCTTAATAAATTGTATGTTGCTGCTGCTCAGGGATTTGAAGCATGAGGAGAAGTGTTGTGTGAGGAGCTTCAGTGCAACATTGTTGTTATGAAGCGTTCTCAGCCTAAAGTCCTTCGACTTAATCTTGTGGGATCTCCTGATAAAGAGTCTAAAGCAACATGTGCAGTTCCACCTGTGTTCGATGGTTCTACTGGTAAAACTGCAGCTGATGTTAAGGAGGCACGGAGTTCAATCCGAGGACCTGCTGTAACCCCAAATAGCAGCCCAGACCTGGAGACACCTTTCGGAAGTACTGAAGCTGGAACTTCCTCTGTCTCGAGTTCGGACCCTGCGACGTCTCCATTTTCTGCTTCTGAAACAAATGGTTCTCTGAAGAAAGAGGTGCAAGCAACAAAGGATAAAATTCAGCATTCAGATGTCAATATTTCTGATTCAGACAGTGAAACATTGAGCCCTCCAGCAAATTTTTCACTTCAGCCATGGATGTCTGATATTCTACAGGAGCATCCTCAAGATCACTTGGTAAAGTTCAACGAAAAACGCGTACTGCAACTGCAGATGTTTTGCTGGAAAACATTTCCAAGATGGATCTCCTGAATGAAATTAGTGCTATGAGAAGCAGGTCAGACTTAAACTTCCGAGGAGATGTTAGGGATGCTGTCTCGTTGGCAAGGAATGCACCTCCTGGACCACCTCCGCTTTGTTCAATATGTCAGCACAAGGCACCTGTTTTCGGAAAGCCTCCTCGGTGGTTTAGTTACGCTGAACTGGAACTTGCAACTGGTGGTTTCTCCCAAGCAAATTTCTTAGCTGAAGGTGGATTTGGGTCTGTTCATCGAGGTGTCCTTCCTGATGGGCAGGCTATTGCTGTTAAGCAACACAAGCTTGCTAGTTCCCAGGGTGATGTTGAGTTCTGCTCAGAGGTGGAAGTTCTTAGTTGTGCACAACACCGAAATGTTGTAATGCTGATTGGTTTTTGTGTTGAGGACAGAAGGCGTTTATTGGTTTACGAGTACATCTGCAACAGATCTTTGGATTCACATCTCTATGGTAAGATCGTTTTCTTGGTAACATTTATGTACATAAAACCATTAGTTTGGTTATGGTACTTGCTGTCTCCAAGTTCATGATGCACCTAACAACTTTTGTGTTCCTAATTCTCCTCCCCTCTCTGTTTCACTTTTTTTTTTTGTGCCAAGAGTCCTGCAAACCTAGTGATGTTGACATATATCTGACCTGTTAAACCATTCTTGAAATATCACTCAGGTCGTAATAGAGAAACATTGGAGTGGACTGCACGGCAAAAGATTGCAGTTGGTGCTGCTCGTGGGCTGCGGTACCTCCACGAGGAATGCAGGGTTGGCTGCATAATCCATCGTGACATGAGACCAAACAACATCCTTGTCACACATGATTTCGAACCACTGGTATAGTCCTATTTTGCTGATTGTGGTGTAAAGTTGACCATTTGTTCTTGTGTCTTTGGCATTAGGCACCTATCCATATAGGTTAAAGTTTCTGCATCTCATGCAATCATCAGGCAATTATTCTTCGTATTGACTGGTGATAGACTATTGTTGCCATTAAACTTTTCTGATGATGTTTGGAGTCTTGCTTAGGGAGGTCAATCTATTCTATTCTTTGCTATTACAATTATCTGCATGATAGGATGGCCTTATCCAAATGCAGATTTTGTATGGAGTGATGCATCTACTGTCTGCTGAACTCTGCCAACCATACAATATTTTTTGTGTTTCCTGTTGAACTCTTAATTTTATGTTATGATTGTAAGCTCCATAATGATTGCCCGACAGGTTGGAGATTTTGGCCTGGCGCGATGGCAACCTGATGGAGACATGGGTGTTGAAACAAGAGTTATTGGCACATTTGGGTGGGTTTTATGACTCTAGTCTATGAATATTTTCATCATAGGCAATTTCAGCTTTTGAGTGCAGCTAACAAGAGAACGTTATTACTGTCTTGCAGTTATATGGCACCTGAATATGCGCAGAGTGGGCAAATAACAGAGAAGGCTGATGTATACTCTTTTGGGGTTGTGTTAGTGGAACTTGTCACTGGGCGGAAGGCTGTTGACATTAACCGACCAAAGGGTCAGCAGCTTCTAACTGAATGGGTGAGTTGCATATTCAATCCTCATTTCTCCTTAGGCAAGCCTATTTTTGGATGGCTAAGAGCCTACACATTTTGCTTCACAGTAAAGATTCATAGGGTTTGTGGAACTCCACTCTGGTGGCAGATAATTTTCTGTGTTTACATAGCTACAATTTGTGTGTTGAACTTGCAAGATTTGGATTGTACAGGCACGCCCATTCTTGGAGGAGTGTGCAATTGACGAGCTCATAGACCCACGACTCGGAGAGCGCTACTCTGAAAACGAGGTGTACTGCATGCTGCACGCGGCAAACCTGTGCATAAGACGTGACCCACATTCAAGGCCTCGCATGTCCCATGTTAGTGATAAAACTAATTTTTTACATCTCCATTTCCAGTGATAAAAGCTAGATTGCATGTATGCTTACCCTTGTGTCTTGTGAATAAAGGTTATTCGCATTCTTGAGGGTGACATGGTCGTGGAATCTGGTTCTGTTACTGGCAGTAGTAGTGATTCTGGGAGCAGAAGCTGGAGAATGCTGAACGAACAACAACATTACCAGGAGCACAGTAGTAGCCCGGCTCAACAAGAATCGCAAAGGTCTGGCGAGGGGAAACGCTCCTACAGTGCTTTGAGGGCCTCTTGGGACCGAGACAAGCAGAGTATCTCCAACAGATATTAGTGCTGTGTCCCTCATAATGCAGTGAAGCTGAGATTGCCCAATCCTGTATTATTCCCTCGCCCTACCTCCTGGTCTCAGTTTTTTTGGGTTCACTTCCTAGCAATTTGTAGGCTGAAAGCTTTTGCTGATACATTGTCCTGGTGTATAGTAGAAATGGTAATAGGTTTACAAGTATGGCTTCGTTCGTTTCGCTGAAAAAACAAGCCAAAACACTGTTCCGGCTGATTTGTTGTGAGAGAAAAACACTGTTTCGGTTAAAAAAAACTGAAAAGTATGGATTATAAGAGAAGCGAACAGAGCCATATTGAGCTGCAAGTGAGCTCATATTTTGTGTTTGATTTGAGGAAAATGCGATCACAAGTGGCCATAGTTATGCTTGGAATCTCAGTAACCTGATCGTACACAGGCAATATGGTCTTTCATCTTTGTTATGGTCACATGAGACTCGAGGCCTGATTACTTTGGGATTTGGATCTCGATGTGATTGTTATACTGTCGCGCGCGCACACTTTTTTCTCGAAAAGTAGCGCAGTTGCACACACAGACGTCCTGACATACTCCAGAACTGGTGGTATCTCCACGCTGTTCCTGTCAGTCATGTTGTTTGCATTCGTTGCGCTACAGGTAACGTAGCAGGTATAATGCCACATGAGTGGTTGCGGGCCGGAGTTAGGCACTGTTCGCTTGAATTTATAAGCGCTACCGTTTCGGTGAAATAATGAGTTTTTTCTTTCACAATCAGTCGCATCGATATCAGCCGTTTTCAGGCAGCCGAACATAGCCTTAGTCCCGTGAACTAAAAATTATATCTCTATAACCCAGTGCCATCATGGGATTTACCATCAAATTCCATAGTGTGCACCCGGAACAGCGCACTGCAAAGCCGGCCATGGCGCCCTACCCGTACCCTATACAGTGCCGCACTGTAACGGCTGCAGGCCTGCAGCGCGTCTGGCGACAGGCGGCAGGCAGAAGGCCTCCCTGCACCTGCTGCAAACGGCGAAAAGATGCTGGCCCGAGAGAGAGCCCCATGCACGGGACGGCTGCTGCTCTGCCTGTTCTGTTTCTGCTGGAGCGCTCGCCCTGCCGCGATCCCGCGCGCGACACGTCCAGGCCGGCGTCGCGTCGCGTGGAGCCGTGGACACATCTATCACGTCCCGGCATCAACTGCATGTCAGCGGCTGCCAGACAGCCAGAGCAGCGCTCATCATTGCCTGCGTTCCTGTGCGCCGCGCCAGACGCGACGACGGCCGGGGGGCCACCGTGCGTACGCCGGCTTGTCGCAACTCGTGTAGTGCTCCAGCTCGAGCTAGCTACGGTGTGGCTGGCTGTGGCTGCGACTAAGAGCAAGATGCCACTGTCACTGTGCTGCGGCGTGGTGGTCCGTGCACGGTGGCGCAGCGCAGGCAAGCAGGAGCAATCATCGTTCTCGTTCGTTCATCGTTCATCGTTCATGGAGGAACAGGGGGTGCCTGGGCCGGCTGTTGACCCGGTGGTCGCAGAGCCAGAGCCACAACTGGCCGTCTGGCCGGACCGCGGTCCACACGTCCTCGGTCCTCGCCCGTGGGGATGCGCTACTGCTGTGCTAAGATGATTTGCTACAAGATAGGATAGGATTAGGGTCTCTTCTGTTGGATGCCATGCCACCGCCGATCATAGTACCAACGATTTTGTACCGAGTATTAGGCGCATGCCAATTCAAATCAAAAAGCTTATCCTGATGAGAGAAGTGGACATTTTCTTGTTGTATTTCAATAAATAATTCCGACCATATGAAGGCTCACTCGGGCCTTAGACGTAGAATAGTAGCTGATAACAATTTTTTTTTCAAAACGAGCTTTTTAAGATTTGAAGACCTCTAGCTCTGTTAAATTGCATGTATCTACCAATTTAACATAAAAGCTTAAATTCACGAGGAAGATGAGCAATTTATTTGAACATTTTGGCAATGTAAATACTTGGCCAAGCTAAAAAGAAAACTTTGGTGACAAAAGAAAAAAAAAAGTTGTTTGACTGTTTCAGCAACGGATGGTCACCCAACACAGTATGGAGAACTGCTCTGGTACTCCTCTTTCTAAAAAATCGCACGAATCTCAAAGCATCCCATGAAATTAATTAAAATATATAATTTCCTTTTATACTATCCATCTATATACCACATGGATCTGGCCCTTCCAAGCCCAGACCATGCCCAACCCATCAAATTAATTAAATATAATTTCCTTTTATATTATCCATCTATTACCAGGTGATGCGACGGAGCCACGGAGGACATGGATTTAGAGGGTGCTACCTCGGCGGCGGTGTCAGGTTCTCCACTATGCAGCCATCGTGGTGTCCCTCCTTGCCTACCTCCTCCACACGGCAGAACCGCAGTAGACAGCCGCAGACACCCATCTTCTCACACGAAACCGAAGATGGAGACCAGATCGACTTGGGCTGGACATACCGTGCGTGGAGGTTCGCTGCCGTGAAGAGACCTCGTCACTAAGTACGAAGGAATCTCGAGGAGAGAAACAAATGGGCTGGATATGCGCTACATACACGGTCTGGGCTTGGAAGGGCCGGATCCTTACGGGACCCAGATGAATAGTAATTAGAAAATAATTATTTAATTAATTGGATAGAGTGCCTTAAGATGCGTGCAATTTTTTAGAAAGAGGAGTATTGGAGCAGTTCCCCACATTATTGTAACAGAACCGACCAAATCATAAGAACGTAAGCACAAAAACAATCACCGAAGCGACCAATTCCTGTGCTTAAGCTCCCATAATCCCGGTAGTCCGGAAATCACGAAGGATTTCAACCAACTCTCGACATACAAACCAAGATCGTAATGATTCAACACAACACATCATTCGTTACAACATTTCACAAGTAGCATTCGGATTACATCCATCAGAGTTCAAATAAAATATTACAAACCAAGTTTGAGTGTGCGGAAGCAACATAGTTTAGTACATAACTTCATAGTTTCAAATACATTGCTAGATCAGAGTCATGTCCCACAAAAGCATTATCAGGTACGAGAACTAGTAGAGACCGCGCCTAACGGTCTAGTCTTCATCCCAAAATAGGAGAAGCGATGACTTGCAAACAACCAAAGAAGAACCGGTCATACGCAATGGTGGGAAATAAACCACGAGTACGAGAAGGTACTCACTAGACTTACCCGACAAAAATCGAAATAAGCGACACCAAGGATCATGCAAGGCTTTTGGTGGGCTAGCTTGACACATTTGCATAAAGAGCTTATGAGCATAGTAACCAATTTAAACTTAGCATCAAGCTTATCATCATTTACACATCCACTAGATTAGCACCTGTACTAGAGCACTCACTTATTAGGAGCAAACAATATTAACCATAGCGGGTATAATAAGGTTTGTCATCATCATATCATCATTTCGAACCATTAAGTTATTAAGTGTATCTACATTGGAGATAAGCCCGTCAAGTTCTCACTAAGGGAGAGACGGCGATTGAATCAATTACAACTCGGTGATGGGGTATTTCTAACTCTCACCTGGCATACTTTGCAAGGGTAGCCGTGGGTCACCTTTGGAACATCTCGGGAACCAAATTCGCGGGTTCGATCGGCGCCAAGACTCTCTCGAGGATTACCCTTCGCGCCAGACGATCGGGACTTTTAAATCACACCGCCTTGGACTCACGCCACGGCTCCTTCCGAGGCGCACTTTATACTTATCGACTCCCGGCCGAGGTGAGCTACTCGGCCATGGTCGGTCATCGGACACACGCCAACTAAGAGAGAGGCATGCGTTCAACATGAGCAGGAAAGGCTCCAAGAATCGGTCCTTAAGCGACTACAGTGCGGAGTCACCGCAAACCGGCAAGCCTCCGTCCAGGTCTTCATTTCAAATTAAGATGGTTCTTTTCCACGATAGCAAATATAGCCAACCGTGCCACATGTATCTTCCTATATCTCGGTGACAGAAATCACCCGACTTCTACAGCGTTTAAGCGGGGCTAAGCACTACTCGAGCACGAGCTACATAGGATTCTGTGGTAACAATATCTGGACAAGGAATGGGTAACCAATGCAAAGCAAGTGTTTGTATCCAACACCTAAACTTAATGCAACAATATATGTAATAATAATACTGTATGCTGCAATGGAAAATAGGAGGCTTAAAATGCTCAGGGCTTGCCTTTCACAAAGTTGCAAGGACGGTGGTCGAGGCACTCAACGGCGACCTCGTCGGCACTTCTCTCAAGGTGCTCCTCCCGAATCTCGGTGTCGTCATGCTTCGCCGCTCGCTTCGATTCCTCGAATTCTAGCAGGTTACTCCTTCCGGTACACCTATTGCATGTCGATGCACAAGATAAATATCATGGATGCATAAGGAATGACATGATGCTCATGATGAATGAATCACAATGGGTGTTTACGAAAACATCACTTTGGACACTCGTTTCGAGTAATTAGCTCTATTCAAATCACTTTAAGCATGTATCCAACTTAACTTAAATAACAAGAGCAACTTACCTAACTTGCATAACCTAAGATAAAGATGCTCATCTTCAGTTAAAGGCCTAACACCTAGGGACAGTACCATGAACTTAGAATAGTACAGACATGCTTAAAATAACAGTTAAAGCTTCATATGCAACAAGTAGTAACTTAATTCTATCATAACCAGAGTTCTATAACTCCAAATGACTTGCAAGAGGACATTCTGGAAAGCTTATGAAATTCTCTACAATTCACTTGTAAACATCAAAGCATGATTCTGAATTTAACCAAATCAAATTCCAGTAGACCTAGAATCTGTCCAGAATGACGGGGTTGCTAACTTAATTATTTAATGATGGTGCAAAAGCCTAATTTGACCAAACCAAGTTTACCAACTTGTTTTTCATATCTTAGAAACATCAGAAAGTATAGTGCTAACTTCTAAATAAATTATTTAATATCCTTTTCCAATTTATTTAGTTAATTAGGTGATTTAAGCAATATATAGTAAAACTATTCATAA